GTGTTTCTATGATCTGTGGTACCATCCTAACTTCAACATGCTCACAAACCTGTGACTATTATTTGCTGTGAAAAAATATATTTATGAATTACCTAAGACAATGTCCTTATTATTACTAGCTAATACTGGCAATAATGCAAGCAAAGTGTCTCGTAGACACAGTCTACGATAAGTTTCAGACACAAATCCGATATTAGGTACGCATCCTAAAGTGCCTCTGAATTCACTCTCCTGCCGTGAAATCTATTTCAGTGAGTCTCAACAAAACTATACTATGTTCATTTTATATTGGATAGCTACCGAATTGCAGGTATGTAATCTATTCACATTTAGTTTTCAATAAATACATAATGTGAATGCAATTATTTATGTCAATACTGCGTGCGACACTAGCAACGTTGCAACCTTTCGAATTTCCCCATTGACGTAAACACTATTAAATGTTTGTTTTTAAAACATTACGTAATCAAAATCTGTTATTTCTCTTCTAAGAAGTCTAATATTTTTATTAATCTAATAATTAACTCAAAATGGAAAAACGATAAGTTTCAGACACAAATCCAATATTAGGTACGCATACTAAAGTGCCTCTGAATTCACTCTCCTGCCGTGAAATCTATTTCAGTGAGTCTCAACAAAACTATACTATGTCCATTTTATATTGGATAGCTACCGAATTGTAGGTACGTAATCTATTCACGTATAGTTTTCAATAAATACATAATATGAATGCAATTATTAATGTCAATACCGCGTGCGAGGAAGTGTGAAAGTAGCCCCGGTAATCAACAAATTAAAGGGCGGACGGTTAGCGTGGTATGGACATGTGATGAGTAGAGAGAAGATGCACGTGACTAGGAGATGTATGGAAATGGTAGTGCAAGGTAGAGGGGGAAGAGGTCGACCAAAGAAGATATGGATGGAGTGTGTTAATGACGATACGAGAGAGAGAGGAGTGAGTGTTGAGATGACGGCTGATAGAAGTGAATGGAAGAGAAAAATTAGCTGTGTCGACCCCACCTAGTGAGATAAGGTGAAGAAAAAGAAGAAGAATACTGCGTGCGACACTAAAAATGTTTGCAAACTTTCGAATTTTCCCATTGACGTAAACACTATTAAATGTTTGTTTTAAAACACATTACGTAATCAAAATCTCTGTTATTTCTCTTCTAAGAAGTCTAATATTTTGATTAATCTAATAATTAACTCAAAAAAAAAAAAAAAATTATTAATTATTTGGTTTTTTTATTGGCGTCCCGAACGGACTGTGCGTATGTTCCATGTTACTCCTTACTATATTCATGTCGTCAGACAAATGCAGAAACGCCTTGCATTTGTGCCATCGGTTTTTCGTACACCCCCACCTGAAGCCGTGTCTCGTTCTGCTCTGTTTGTAGTACGTGTAATTCATGTAAACCAATCTCTCTTTACCGCGCGCCGTCATAAAAATGTTCACTGAAAAATCATATTGTTAATTCACCCACACCTCGTGTCAATGATTCATTAGCGAAACGACATAAGTGCTACTTTTTTTTCGAACGCCATAATTGTTGTATTCGACTTAATTTTACGAAAAGCGCTTATGCTGTTCCAGTTCTGAATCATCAACAATGTTAGTTATAAGCAAATGCATTCATAGTGATTGTTTGTATGTTTTAGTAGTTAATTCGCTTATTAGTTTAGAGACATTTGATAGTTACTATATTTTACACAAGTTTTATTTCATTTCATGAACATTTTCTAACATGCAGCGTTTAAAACGTTTATAGTTATGGTAAGTAAAGGGTCGTACCTACCTACGTAGCCTATGTTTTTTTTTGTCTCTTATCAAATTAAATTTTGTGTACGTTTTGAAAAAGTTCACACTTCAAAAAGCCCTTTTAAATAGCAATTTATGTCGACTTTCAATAGTTTACTAAGGGGCCAAGCATGCATTTCTGCAAATGAAAAACTGATTAATATTCAAAACATTTATTTACAGATAGATTTACGTAAAAGTAAAATTTTATTGACTTTTGTTGATAAATCCTTTATACCTTAGTAATTTGCTTATTGTATTCATGTTAAATTAAATAACTTTTTATATATTTTTTATTGCTTAGAATGGCGAACGTTCACGGAACCCCTGTTGTTGATTACCGTAGCCCATAGACATCAACAATGTAAATGCCGCTGCTTGCATCTTGGGACATGGGTTCAAGTCTCAGTTTTTACAGTATAAAGGCTGCTCCACCCTTCAAATCGAAACGCATTACTGCTTCACTCTATCCGGTAGATTTGATTGTTAATTTAATTATGTTTATTTTTCTTAATTATGTTTATTATGTTTTTATGAATGCCATTTAAAACAAAAGCAAAAGTGAATACTGCACGCGAGACTGATGACCCGCGTGTCAGCTGATCTTTAATTCCGTTAAGCACCGTGAAGTAGTCGCTGGTACCTTAAGGGCCTATTTCAGCTTTGCGAGGAAGGGTAGGTGAGTTCACAAGCTCAACCTGAGAGAATTAGCTAACACCAGCCCAAACAATAGCACAGCTTCGCATAATCTAGCATCGACAAAAACATTTACCACCACCTACCTACCACCAGGGTATTTACTAGTGGTAGGACCTTTTTTACTTGTGGTAGGACCTCTTGTGAGTCCACAAGGGTAGGTACAACTACCCTGCTCATTTCTGCATTAAAGCAGTAATGCGTTTCGGTTTGAAGGTTGGGGCAGCCGTTGTAAGTATACTTGAGACCTTAGAACTTATAATTTCAAGGTGGTCATTTACGTTATAGATGTCTATGGGCTCCAGTAACCACTTAACACCAGGTGGGCTGTGAGTTCGTCCACCTAAGTAAGCAATAAAAAAAAACAAAGATATTAATAATGTATTGTTTCCTTTATCTTTTTTTTTGTTATCATAATTGGTCACACTTATTTTCGTATTTGTGAAATATTAATTTGCCGAGATACGTTTTCGGGCGAGGCAAGTTCTAGGTCTAATGAGATTCAATTTTAATTTTTTGCTTCTTCTTCCTCCATAGTTTCCTTTGGGCCAGTTTCTCGGTTTCCGGCATCTCCTCAACTCGTCTGTATTTCATTTTCGTTCGTCTCGCATTCTCTCTCCTCAGTTCCTCGTATTTTAACGGGTTATTTATTTTCAAGTTCTCTCGATACCTTTTCTGTCTCATTGCCGCAGACGATGGCCGCTTTTTACCTGACAACAAGAGTACCAATGACTTACAAGTATGTACTTTTATGGTAATTTTTGGTGTTCGTTTCAATCATTTTTAATAACTGCATTCTCCTTTATCCGTGAGACGTTAATTTGTTTAATTCATGTCCACGGCTTGCGACGATCTCATAAAATATTAAAAGTAATATTTTATATGTAATGTCATCAGCAGAATGCCTATATGTTTATTTTCTTTGTTATTCCTTGGATTTGGCAAGAGTTCTAAGTCTGAGTTTTTACAGTACAACAGCCGCCTCACCCTTTAAACCGAAACACATTATTGCTTCACGGCAGAAATGGGTGGGTTGGTGGTACCTAGCCGTACGGGCTCACAAGACGCCCTCCCACCGGTAAAATGAATAAATACCTACGCCATATGTTGTCTATTTTGGCGTAAAGTGGTCATTCGGTTTTAGGATGGGACAGCCGTTATGCTATAGATTCGAGATTTAAAAGCCATGTCTATTGAGACGTGGTTGATGGTCTCAACGTTGTGATGTCTATGGATCCCGGCAGTCACTATACAGCCGATAGACCGTTATATCATTTACTCATCAAAGCATGAAAAAATAACCTTCAATTATAATATGCATAACAAATTTTAAAATAAACTGCGTGATGATTGTCGCCACCATGTCTACGCCACGAGATTCACGAATATTTCCAAAAAAATACTTTTTATACCTTTCAATTTAAACATTAAGCCGAGTTAAAAGTATCTTGATCTAATCGATACGTGGCTACTAGTCAGTGATAGAGTGCAATTGAGGATCCGCGATAAATTTAATAAAAAATATGGAAACTTGTGAAACGCTATTCATCTTTCCAAATATATTTACTATTTTTGTAAGTCACTCGGTTACTTTATCGCAAGACTTATTTAGATCAGTTTATGAGTCGAATCTCGAAAAGTCACTCATACTCGTGGTAGGACCTCTTGTGAGTCCGCACGGATAGGTACCCTGCCTATTTTTGCCGTGAAGCAGTAATACGTTTCGGTTTGAAGGGTGGGGCAGCCGTTGCAACTATACTAAGACCTTAGAACTCATATCTCAAGGTGGGTGGCGGCATTTACGTTGTAGATGTCTATGGACTCCAGTAACCGTTTAACACCGGGTGGGCTGTGAGTTCATCTACCCATCTATGCAATAAAAAAAAGGTCACTATCAGAGAACTCGAAACACTTAAGGGGCTAGAATTCGGGTGGGATTTTTTCGGTTGGAGGCCGACTGGTTGATAGAGAAAAAACAAAACCTGCTCACCCCCGCTTGGTTCTGCAGCAATTCGAGTATCACCCGTCAGGAGCAAGTCGGCCGCGATTTTTGTGTAGATTACGCGGTGCTGCATACAATGCGCGTGTGTACCGTTATGTCCAACATGCATCGACTACTGCATGCATTCTGCCGTCAGCTTAGTTTCAATCTGGTATCGAAAGAACCATATTGGGTCAGCGCCTGCACCAGCCCGTAGGTAAGCCTCGATGGCCCGCAGACCGGCTAGAGCGATCAGCCCGTGATTGTATGTCCTCTTGCGGTATTATAAAAATATTGTCTACTTTTTTATATTGTCAGCTGTTTAAGTGTTTATTTGATTTTTTCCCCAAACTTGACGATTGCCTCCATTACAGACCTATGGCAGTAAGCTAGGCGCATGTAACCGAGTTATTTCTGCTTGTTCATACTTAATATTATAAATATGAAATTGTTTTTGTTTCTTTGTTCTTCGTTCTCATCGAAACGAAGCAAAGGATTGACATTACTTTGTTTATGTGACAGTCTTAGACCTGGAGAGTAACATAGGCTATCTTAAATACCGAAAAAAAAACCTCATCGCATGGGAAAACATTTTATTAACTCTAGAAAATATTACGTGACACTTTAGAAACATTATTGACACTTTTCCTAGATAATGTGATCGAAGATGCGGGTAGAACGTAGTAGAGTTTTAAAAAGAAGTATTATTACACTTTAATATATTTTCCCGTGTTCGTTATAAGGTATCGGTCAGGATAATGACTATGATTGGTCGACGAGACCAACAGAAGGTTCAAATCTTCGTCCAAATGTAAGTAAGCGCTGCATTTCGAAGACTTTGTGCAGGGCCACCTTATCGCGTGGCCTTTCTGTAGGCGGTTTTTCTTGTAATACGTGTAACCGTTTAGCATGAATAATTGTTTCCCGTTTGTTAATTCTATCAGTTGACCTGTTGACGAAGAAGGGTTGTAGTATTAGTACAGAAGGTTGATTTTATCGGAGTCTACATTAATAATTTAGGTTGCACATTTTTGATGTTTTAATCAGTTTTCAATTATCATAGCTAATGCTTTGTGTATATTGCTGGTTCCTGCCTGCCAACCTACAGACCTGAGTTCAATATCACAACATTCGAGTCAAGACCAAATCCCGAATAGCGAGAATGAAATCTATTGCCAATAATCATTTTTAAGCTTTCTTTAACCAAACATTTTCCTCAGTGCTGCTTTTAACTGTTGGTCCAATTTAAGAGCACACCTTAAATTGCCATTAGGTATTTGCTTGCCCAAAATGTGGCGTCACGGATCATTTTCTAACCAGAGACTGACTGGCCATAACTCGAGACTGACTGAATGACAATGTACATTTTTAAGGTTTGCGTAGTGAACCACGCGTAGGCAACGAGCGGTGTTCTCAATGATATAAGAAACGATATATTTTGACAGCTCGAGCTAAAATTTTATTGTCTCCTGTGTTATGGGTACCGAAAACACGCATACGACAAGAACATGTCGCAAGATGTCAAATCCCGTATTCGAGTCACGTTGTCTACTAGTCTTTATAATTGACCATTTAAAGATCCATAGAAGGAAAATTATTTAGACAATTAACCCATGTTTTCATGTCTTCAGAGTTTTGACTTTCGTTTGAACTATCAACGTTTTTATTGCAAGCATCATGTTTGTTTCTAGAAATTTCCGTATTTAAGTCAGAGCCATTCTATTTCGCCTTGAGCGTAGAACCTAGAATGCTGTTTTGAAAATTTATTGTACGTGCGTAAAAACATTGTAGAATTCCCCAGAGTCTGCGATTTGCATAATGTGAACACTAGGAACAAACATAGGCTTGCGTTGCCGGCGGCTCGAATTAAGAAAATAAGCAAGTCTTTCAGGGGGCTGGGTGTACAACTTTTCAACAAGATCCCACAAAACGTTCAACTACTACCTGTTCATAGATTTAAGAAAAATGTCAAGGAACGTTTGTGCAACAAGGCATATTATAAAGTTAAGGATTTTTTACTAGATGGCACTACGTGGGAATGAGGCGTTCGCTCCTGGCCTTTTCATTTTTCATTATTATTATTATTTATTTGAATTGTATTTTTTTGACTTGTTTTTTCGTATACTGTAAATATGTTTTCTTGTTTAAAAAAAAAAAAAAGAAAATAGTTGAGAAAATACAAAAAAAAAGCCCGCTGAGTTTGTTTCGCCGGTTCTTCTCAGGACTGTGGCTTTTTTGGAACCGGTGGTAGAGTTAACATTTTCTTTTACATTTTGACATTCAACAAGTGTGTTTTTGATGACATCCAAGTTGAAATAAATGATTTTGAATTTGAATTTGAATTTATTATACAAATCATACATCATATGTGTGACAGCGTTCTGAATAATAAACTGCTTTTACACCATTTCACTCCTTTTATTTATCGCTTAGATGGGTGGACGAGCTCACGACTCATTTTGTATTAAGTAGTTACTGGAGTCCATAGACAATAACGTAAACGCCGCCGCGTAACTTAACACATGAATTCTGACTTTCAATGTTATAGTATAACGACTGCCCCACCCTTCAAACCGAAACGCATTACTGCTTCACCGCAAAAATAGGCACTCATCACGTCCTACCAGCATTAAGATTTTCTAAGATGCTTTAATTCGTTGCATACGTGGTTTCACTCTATCGCCCTTAAATGTTCCATGAAAGTCCGTAGATAGCTATCTACTGGTTTTGGGCAATCAAAATCAGAAATTAACACATGCGGGCATATTACACTCTTTATAAGCGTCTTCGTATAAACAGTAAGATAGGCGAATCAAACCGCTTTATTTCGGCATTTTAAGAATATTATAATTATTTGTTTGTCCTTCTTTTACGTAAAAATTAAGAAAAGATTGAAGTTTTTTTTAAAGATCGTATTAGGTCTGTAGAGTGACATAGACTAGCATTTATCCTGAAAAAAGAAAGACTCATTCCCATGGTAAAGACATTTATTATATTCAGAAAAACTACGTAACACGTTATAAAAATAATTTAGCATTTTTTTGACCATGCCCCTAAACCTCTAGATGGTCTCTTAAAAAGATTGTTTACAGTTTTATATATTGTCCTGATTTCGTTTGAACGTATCGGCCCGGGTCGTGACTATGATTGCTCGAGGAGACCAACAGAAGGTTCAAATCTTCGTCCAAATGCAAGTAGGCGTGGCATGTCGATGTTTTAGTGCAGGGCCATCTTACCGCGTTGGTTTTCTGTAGGCGATTTTTCTTGTAATATGTGTAGCCGTTTAACATGTAAAACTGTTTCCCGTTTGTTAATTCTATCAGTTGACCTGTTGACGAAGAAGTGTTTGAGGATTAGTACAGAAGGCTGGTTTTATTGGGGTCTACATAAATTATTTAGGTTGCACGGTTTTGATGTTTAATCGGTTTTCAAAAATCATACCTGATGCTATGTGTATATTGCTGGCTGCTTCCTACCAACCTACAGACCTGAGATCACAACATTCGAGTCAAGACCAATGGCAAGAACGAAATCTACCGCCAATAATAATTTTTAAGTTTTCTGTAACCAAACATTTTCCTCAGTGTTGCTTTGGTTGGCCTTTTAAATTGCCATTGTATACACTAAGGTACTTGCTTGCTCAAACTATGGTGCCATCGAGCATTTTCAAACCAGAGCTTGGGACTGGCTGAATGACAATATACATTTTTAAAATTTGCGTAGTGAATCACATGAAGACAACGAGCAGTATTCTCAGTGATATAAGAAACGATATACCTTGACGGCTCCAGCTAAAATTGACTCCTGTGTTATGAGTACCGTAAACACACATACGAGATAGAAACATGTAGAAAGATGTCAAACCCCGTACTCGAGTCACGTGGTCTACTATTTCTTTATAATTGACCACCAAACGGTGTATAGAACGCAAACATTTAGATAATTAACCCATGTTTACGAGCGGCATGCATATTGAAGGAATAACACCGTGTATAAAAATATACTGATTAAAAAAATATATGAATGCAGGCAGCATTGGAGGAAGCTGGTGCAAAAACTGGACCAAGGTGGTCACGACCCTCAGCAATGAGGAAACGACAGAGAAGAAGAACAAGAAGAATATTGTCGTAATTGTTGTTGCTGCCTATTTGTGCATCGAACCGGTAATGCGTCTATGGGCTTCGTAATCATTTCATACCAGATGGTGGGTAAAAAAATACATTGTTGAGGTCATGGGCAGCATACAGCATTTCTGACCACGGAGAAGATCGGACGCTTGGACGAGAGTGCATGGGAGTGGTTTAGTGGGTAGGGCCCTAAATACCATCCTTGGGCCTGCGGCTCGCTCCCAACATCTGCGGGTCGTCCAATCCCACATAGCCCTCTAGGCTCGGAGACCTCGTAGGATGGTCGACCCTCAGCCCAGAAAAAAAGTCATATAGCAATCTATTTTTATAGTATAGGATAGTAGGATTAAACCAATTTCTTCCCGAATCTTCTCAGCCAATCGCGATTCCGTTCCTGTGGCAGATGCACTTGCGAAGCATCATCCCTTTTGAGCTAATAGGCTTCCTTCGTGGGCGTTGTTATCAAACCCCTGCCTTTCTGGGTTTATTTCGCCCACCCAACGTGGTTAATCGGTAAATGTGAAAGTTTGTTTGTCCTTTTACGTCGAAACGAAGCAATGGATTGACTTTTTATTTAGAAACGACTGTTTTACATCTAGAGAGTGAAACGGGCTAACATTAATCCCGAAAAAAAGACTCATTCCCACGGGAAAGACATTATATTCAGAAAAACTACGTAACACGTTATAAAAATAAATTGAGATTTCTTTGACCATGCCGCCGAAGCACCAGATGAACTTTTAATAATATTGTTTACAGTTTAATGTATTGTCCTGATTTCGTTTGAACGTAATGGCCCGGGTCGTGATTATGATTAGTCGACGAGACCAACACAACGTTCAAATGATCGTCCAAATGCAAGTAGGCGCTGCATCTTTTAGTACAGTTCCATCTTACCGCGTTGGTTTTCTGTAGGCGATTTTTCTTGTAAAATGTATAGCCATTTAACATGTAAAACTGTTTCCCGTTTGTTAATTCTATCAGTTGACCTGTTGACGAAAAAGGGTTGGATTAGTACAGAAGGCTGGTTTTATCGGAGTCTACATAAATTATTTAGGTTGCACGGTTTTGATGTTTTAATCGGTTTTCAAAAACCATACCTGATGCTGTGTGTATATATTGATGGCTGCTCCCTACCAAGCTACAGACCTGAGATCACAACATTCGAGTCAAGACCAAATCCCGAATAGCAAGAACGAAATCTACCGCTAATAATATTTTTTTAGTTTTCTGTAATCAAAACTTTTTCCTCAGTGTTGCTTTGGTTGGCCCAATTAAAGAGCACACTTTAAATTGCCATTGAATACCCTGAGGTACTTGCTTGCCCAAACTATGGTGTCATCGAGCATTTTCTAACCAGAGACCAGAAGCTTAGGATTGGCTGAATGACAATATACAATTTTAAGGTTTACATATTGGACCACACGAAGGCAACGAGCGGTATTCTCAATGATATAAGAAACGATGTATGTACTTTGACAGCTCCAGCTAAAATTGTCTCCTGTGTTATGAGTACCTTAAACACACATACGAGATAGAAACATGTAGAAAGATGTCAAATCCCGTACTCGAGTCACGTAGTCTACTAGTCTTTATGACCACTAAACGATCTATAGAAAGCAAAATATTTAAATAATTAAGCCATGTTTACGAACCGCGTGCATATTAAACGAATAACACCGTGTATAAAAATAGAAATTGATAAAATTGTTGCTGCTGCCTACTTGTGTCCTGAAGCGGTTATGCGTTAGTTTGGAAGACTGGGTAGCCGTAATAAAATTGAGACTAAGACATCATATCTCAAACTGGGTAGCGAAATTCACGTTGTGGTATTTATGGGTTTCGGTAATCATTTCATACCAGGTGGTGGGTAAAAAAATACATTGTTGAGGTCATGGGCAGCATACAACATTTCTGACCACGGAGAAGATCGGACGCTTGGACGAGAGTGTATGGGAGTGGTTTAGTGGGTAGGGTCTTAAATACCGTCCTAAGGCCCGTGGCTCGCTCCCAACATCAACGGATCGTCCAGTCCCACACAACCCCCAAGGCTCGGGGACCTCGTAGAAGGGTCGACCCTCAGCCCAGAAAAAAAGTCATATAGCAATCTATTTTTATGGTATAGGATAGTAGGATTAATCCAATTTCTTCCCGGATCTTCTCAGCCAATCGCGATTCCGTTCCTGTGGCAGATGCACTTGCGAAGCATCATCCCTTTTGAGCTAATAGCCTTCCTTAGTGGGCGTTGTTATCAAACCCCTGCCTTTCTGGGTGAGACGTTTATTTCGCCCACCCAACGTGGTTAATCGGTAAATGTGGAAGTTTGTTTGTCCTTTTACATCGAAACGAAGTAATGGATTGACGTTTTTATTTAGAAACGACTGTTTTACATCTAGAGAGTGAAATGGGCTAACATTGATCCCGAAAAAAAGACTCATTCCCACGGGAAAGACATTACATTCAGAAAAACTACGCTCACATAATAAAAATAAATTGACATTTCTTTGACCATTCCGCCGAACCACTAGACGGTCTTTTAAAAATATTGTTTACAGTTTAACGTATCGTCCTGATTTTGTTTGAACGTATTGGCCCGGGTCGTGACTATGATTAGTCGACGAGATCAACACAACGTTCAAATCATCGTCCAAATGCAAGTAGGCTTTGCATTTTTTAGTGCAGGGCCATCTTACCGCGTGGCTTTTCTGTAGGCGATATTTCTTGTAATATGTATAGCCGTTTAACATGTAAAGCTGTTTCCCGTTCGTTAATTGTATCAATTTACCTGTTGATGAAGAATTGTTGGACAATTAGCTCAGATAGGAATATATCATATTCAAGTTTTTATTTTAGTGCTTACTGAATATTCGCTTGCATCTTTTTTTTTATTGTTTCGACGTGCTAACGAGAGCACGGTTTACCTGGTGTTTAGTGATTACCGGAGCCCATAGACAATGCCACCAGACCACCATTACCACACACAAAGTCGAGGTATAAATGTAATGTTTATAGCCGTAAGGAGGCAAAGCATTGATTTTCTTCAATCGTATCTTTTAATTTTGATCATTGACCACATAAAAGACCATTTATATATTACTTATTGCTTTTTTAGGCAGACGTGCATATGGCCCACCTGATGGTGAATTGTTACCGTCGCTTATGGAGGTCAGCAATGCCAGGGACAGAGCCAAGTCGCTGCCCACAGTTAAATGGCATTAAGAACAACAGGGTTTACGATGCTTACTTCCGACAAGTTATAAACAATCAAAATAGCAATTAAACAGAATTATTTAACAAATTTATTAAAGCAGGGTATTATTGAAACAAAATTCATTTTGGACAAATAGTATCTAATAGCTTTATAATTTTTTTTCTAATTATAGAAAGAAAAATAAAACTTTTATACTTAAGCTATTTTGAACGGGACAAAAACTTTGTTTCAAAATATGGTAAGTAAAATAAATTTCAATTTATAAAAAACAGTTGCGCCTGCACTTTTCGATTGACACCGGAACTTTCTTCCAACAGGCATGTTGCAGTGAACATTTGACTACAAAATTGTAGTCATTTAGTGGTTTGCCCCCGTTGGCGAACGTCGTTTCAATAACGGTTTTGTTTGCGAAACATTGGAATACATAACAAAACTGCGACATAAAAAAAAAGTCAATAACTTAGTTGTCAATAAATATGGCGTGACATATAGGAATAGGTAGTCGCAATTTTCATTGATCCGCAATTTAAAATAGCTTTTAACTGCGTTACACGACCGCTCGTTAGGATATCTAACACGTTTTCGTTTTAATATCATTCAGTATGACCCGGTAGAGTTTGTACCGTTTCTGTTTACCCTTTAAACGGACTTCGGGGATTTATATATTCTGGCGATGAGATCCTCTTTCCTTATCGGCAAGCCTTTTTCAGCGTTAATCTTGATCCATTTAACAATGTCACGTTCTTCTTGAATTGTCAGCGCGGTCGATGGCCCCGGCCGGTCCTGCTTCTCCGGGTGTTTGCTTTTAAATATCAACGTACTCCGGGGCACTTTGAACGTTTTCGCTGCCAAATTTTTGCTCATCCCATTCTCGACCGCCCTCAGGGCGTCTTCTATTGCTTTCTTTGTGTATTTCCTTCGTTTTTCTGGTACCAATATTTCTACCTTCGGCACGTATTGGTACAGTAGATTACCTGAAAATATTAACGAGATCTGTGTTTAATTGAGTGCTGTGAAGAATCATTTTCGACTAAATGTTTAGTAGAATGAAGGGTACCAGAACACGCGGCAGATGCGGACCAATCAAAAGAAGACTCCAGCGAATTGTTCGATGCACCAGAAGCGCAGCTAGAAGATAGTGATGCCTGGTAGAAAAACTGGCACCTCCACTCTTGAAGGCCATGACCACTCTGCCAAGTGTTAAGCGGCGCAGAAGATGATAATAATGTAATATGCTCAATGTAGTGTCTGTTCATGTTACATGAAGTTGGAGACTCACTATAAATCATGACTGCCTATTCACCATATAACAGGTCTGGATAGGTACGTACATATTTTCTAGATACAGCGAGAAATATACGGTACTATCAAAAAGGATAAAATAAATAGATTACGTTATAAGCTAAATAAAATTAATGTCGCCATATTCAAGTAGTGCCTAATTTAGAAAGTAATGTCATCTTGATTTAAAAATAAGATATCCGATATACTCGTATCGAGCCATGAGACCATGCTAGTGTTTAAATCCCACAGACAGGTAACATTTATTCTAAAGGTATACGTAATTAGCATGTGTAGCTTGTAATTAGCACGGACTTCAAAGATTAAGGTGTAAAAATTCGTGTAATAAAAATCAAATCGGCAAAATTTACCCGTGGTAGGGCGCATTGTAAGTCCGCATGGGTAGGTACCACCACTCTGCCTATTCTAAATCTATGCAATAAAATAAGTAAAGGACAAGACGAAAAAAATTATATTGTTGTTTCAATGAAACAAGCTTAATGGTTTTAGAATTGATTTCCATTGTACGTACCTGCACGTCATTAAAAGATATCGGCGAATTTTGCATTTATTTCCATTTAAAGTTTCTGATGGATTGTTTTTTACATGAATTTTTTTTTCCTACCTAAGCTGAGAGCCTTAAGAGGCTATTTCAGCATAACCTTAACTAGTAGTTGAGCTCGCGGGGCTCAAACCTGACGACGTTGCTAACACGAACCCTAGCAAGAGCCGTACTTCGCATAATCTACCACCGGATCGCAAACGCGACCCACTGAGAAGATCCGGCGAGAACCGGGCTGTGTCTGAGGGTTTGCTCTGCCAATGCCCATCCCAAGCCCGGAGGAGAAAAGAGGAGGGTTGAGTTGGAGTTCGATCTTTCCACCGTAAAACAATCAACGCCGAATGTTGGGCGGCGGTTAATTAGCCGGACCCAAATAAGGTTTCTGTGGCTTTGAAGAACTAAATCTGTTCCAAAGGCACTGCCGCGGAAGGACTCGGGACCCCACCATGTGTATTTTCCCAAGAAAGCCTCTTTGAGGTCACGATCCTCAGCATTGAGGATTATCGACGTAAGAAGTTTTTTTCTGAGATGCCCATTATTTCCCTAAACAAACTCACAGCCCATCTGATGCGAATTTCGTTATTTTACGCTGACACTAGTAGTGAATTCGGAGCTGGAGAAAGGCGAAAAGCGACTCGCTCAATGTGCGACATAACCCAATCCTAATCACGCAGGAGCCAGTCACCTTCGTCGCCCTAGACACGTCCTTACAGATCCATCAGATCCAATAACCATTCGGGAAGCAGCTACTCTTGAATTGTTAGGTCTCCCTTGGAGGCGCTCGGGTAGCTGTTAACAAATCCTGCCCCTTCTGGCTGAACCTTTGCTCGCCCACCTGTCCTTGTAAAACTGGAAAGGCCTCCGAGCCACCAGTAAAGCCTCAACCATAAAAAAAAAGACATAACCCAATTCTTGAAAATAATCGCGTGCGATGTTACGGCATCTATTACAAGTATATTACAACTATATAAAACTTCAATTCAATCGACTAAAGTTAAATCGTTACGAAAGCCTTCATTATACGCAATAAACAAACGTTCATACAATATAACTAAAACTAATTTTAAATTTTAATTTCACGTTGTTTTTTTTTCATGTACCTACCAGCCGTACGTGATTGCCGTGACGTCAGAAGTAATAAAAAGCTATATTAAGCCGTATTTAAGCAGTTTTATTTATGTGTAGGACTCGCGGAAGCAACCGTATGAAGTTCTGTTTACCTACTACTACTAATTATTATTACATTACATTGTATATTTATGAATATATACTCGTATATGTATGTGTGTATGTGTTTAATATATTATATATAATCGATAGGCACACCACGTGTAATTCGTTTCCAAATGATTATTGTCCACCTGATGGTTGTCTGGAAGAGATCGCTATTAACGACAAGACCGCCATTTGTACTTTTTTTTGTATCTAATGTTTCGCATTGTTTATTTTTTTAGTGTACAATAAAGAATACTCTCTCTCTCTCTCTCTCTCTTCACTACTACTACCACCATTTGACTTTTT